AGAATTTGGCCATTTTTCGACGACCAATGTGTTGGGGCTCAAAGGGGATTTCAAGGTTACGGGTTTCGGGTCTAAGGTATGGTTTGAATGTAACTGTAGCCCACAAAAACTACCCTTAACCCTGTAAACCCCATACCCGAAATACCCAATTGGCCAGGACCACGACACGAGATCCCCGCACGAGCCGACGACGCCTGCTGACGAGTCTGGTGGTGTGGACGAGGAAGCTTCGACGTCGCCGGCAGATGATGTGATCCGCCAGTTTTTGTTAGGTGCGGCACAGCACAGGTCGGACTCGGAGAATGATTGAGTATCGTCACACTACGGCATTTCAGCTTCTGAACCTTTTATAACTATGTATACACACCCCTGTATCCAAGACTACCTATAATCTCCAATCTGAAGCCTTCATACCCCTTACCCTAAACCATAAACCCTAAACCCTAAACCGGCTGTGTTCAGTTGCAGAGGGCTTGCTCAATTTCATCTGAAAGCGGGTTCAGGGTTCCTTTTTCGGGGTGATACCAAATACAGTACGAGCTCCGAGGATGTGCATGTAAGGTTGCCAGGCAGAGAACGATCGCACATTTGGTTTTCACAAAGCACAGGCTGTCTCGTAATAGCTTTTCGGAAGCCAAAAAACCATTCTCGGCTATCTATAGCACCTCCATTTCAGGATTGTGAAACTAAACCCAAAGCCCCAAACCCCACACCTCACACCCCAAACCCCGTAGCCCCAAACCTAAACCCAACAAACACTTCGTGCTCGTACTAGTACAACTGCGACTATACTGCAAGTATCCTAGGCAGCCTGTAGAAAGGATGCACTTGCCTATAAGGGCACGACCTGAGAGGACCATCGGTCACACGGAGAGGTGAAAATCAGGTGAGCCACAGGGAATTCGTCCGCCGAATGGACGAGGAACAGGGTTGTTCGGATTCGCGGTCCAGATTATGAGTTTCCGTTTTCGGGACAAGAAAGCTTCGAAGGAGTTTGGGAATTTTCGTCTAAAGTTCCAGTGAGAAGGGAAATGCTTTGTGGAAGTTTGGTGTGAGTTCCGGTGCTACTTCCATATAAGGAACCCCAAAGCCCTAAACCCCTAAACCCCATACACCTAAACCCTGAAGCCCTAAAGCCCTAAACCCTAAACCCCTAAACCCTATACCCCTAAACCCGGAACCCCTAAACCCCTAAGGAGGTAAGGCAGTCTAGTAGAAATTTAGTGGAAACTTCCATTAGGGACCAAGGCAGTTTAGTGGAAATTTAGTGGAAACTTCCACTAGGGAGCAAGGCAGTTTAGTAGAAGTTTAGTGGAAACTTCCACTGCCTATTGGGGCAGTTTAGTAGAAGTTTAGTGGAAACTTCCACTTCCTATTGGGGCAGTTTAGTAGAAGTTTAGTGGAAACTTCCACTCACAATCGGAACTTTTAGTAGAAGTTTTCTAGGTGTTGTGAAGAAGTTTCAAACATGGTGGTGTGCAAAACCCTCGGCAAAATGACATATCGAGATCCAAACTTCTACCAAAGTGCAACACAACTTCCAGCAAAGTGCCAGCAAACTGCCACCAAACTACCCCAATGTTGAGAGGAAGTTTCCACTAAACTTCTACCAAACTGCCACACTAGGCAGTGGAAGTTTCCACTAAACTTCTACTAAACTGCCACACTAGGCAGTGGAAGTTTCCACTAAACTTCTACTAAACTGCC